AAATGTTTTGATACCTAAAACCCCAACACTCAAAACTAAACCCTAATAGAACATAATTAACCCAAACATAAATAATATAAAGAAAAAATAATTTTGAAAAAGTAACATTTTTGTAAAGATTTTAAAAGTGTGGCATTTTTGTAAAGTGGCATTTGAAAAGTGGCATTTTTGAAATTTCTCATTTTTAAACTCGCGCTTTTATCTAAAAAATTCTATATAACGGGGGAAAGAAAGTACTAATTAACCAAACGAAAATAACCAACTAAATGACAAATTGCTTCATTATAAAACAAACGATCGTATTACAATATCATATGAATAACCAAATCTTCCCAACGGCATGTTAATTCCATAAATAAAATAACAATGGCTATATTCAACAATAAATCAAATAAACATCTAACTAAGGTAATGTAAATACTCAATTATGGAAATAGCCGTTTACCTATAAGGATCATATTAAACAACATTTCGAAAAAAATCTGAAACTAACGATCATAATTTTCTAAAATGGAAAGTCAATAAGAAAAACAACCGTTGGTTTAAGAACTTTCATCATGAAGAATCATTTCCATCTTCTTTCTTAATAAAATTCTTTGGCTCTTTGCACTACTAAACATATTATAATAATTTTAATGTAAATTCAGCTTTTTTGTCCTTTTCTGCCTTTACCTTTCCTTCTACTCTCCAAAAAGCACTGACTTTGCTCTGTTTCCTTCGTTCACACAGAGAGAGAAGAAAAGACGCAGACAAATTTCCTGTCTGAAATTCTGACAATTGAGATGATGGAATGGGATAATCAGCAGCAACCCAATAATCATCAATCTTCTAATCTTCATGGGATCGACGTTAATGGCGGTGGTTCCGGCGCCGGAGGAGGAATGTACGTGAAGGTCATGACCGATGAACAGTACGAAACTTTGAGGAAACAGATTGCTATTTACGCCACCATCTGTGAGCGACTCGTTGAGATGCATAAAACCTTAACTGCTCAACAAGATCTTGCAGGT